ACGAGAATAGTCATCAATAAAAATCACAAAATAACGAGAACCATTCATAGACACAGTGGGCGAAGGTCCCCAAATATCCGAGTGAACTAAAGAAAATGGAGTATCCGCAATGGAAGTACTATGAGGAAACGACAGAGCAGGTTGTTTTCCCAACGAACAATCTACACAATTAAAAGACTCAAACTTAACAGAACCCAAACTACCCTGACTAATCAAGGACCTGACTTTATTGGAAGACGCATGACTGAGACGACGATGCCACTGAAGGCAGGATGGTGTAGAGGTGGTGGCAGCTGAGATAGAGGGACGAGGGACCTGGAGTGACGTAAGTTCAAATAAGCGGCCCGTCTTCCGGCCCTTCCCAAGAATCCGCCCGGTTTGCGCGTCCTGAACCTGCACACCAGTAGAAGAAAATAACACGGTGAGACCTTGATCAACCAATTGACCAACGGAAATCAGATTTAAGGTTAATTGAGGGATACAATATGTGTCAGGGAGGGATAAGGATGAGGTGGATGTATGTCCGGTATGGGTGATGCGCATATGGGTACCATCGGCAGTAAGGATAGGGGGTAAGGATGGTGCGGTGGATGTGGAGGTCATAAGGCGTATATCAGAGGTCATATGATTACTGCAAGCAGAATCAAAATACCAAGGAGAGTTACCTGATGTGGTAGACATGGCGGTATTGGAAGATAGAACCTGTTTAAGAAGAGCTTCCAGGTCCTGAATCGTAGGAGGCGCAGGCGCAGGCGCAGCAGAGGCTGTGACAGAGGAGGTACCAGACTGAGGTCCACGAGAATTCCGAGGCTTGTAGTTACTACTTCCAGAGCGAGGTGGTCTAGTGGGGCAATACTGTATAGTATGGCCTAAAACATGACAGTAGTGACACTCCACCTTTGGGCAATGACCGAAGTCATGATCAGAGGACTGACATCTTTTGCAACGATGAGAACGACTCTGAGTAGGAGTTCGGGCAGTGACCGCAAGAGCAGAGTCAAGCTGAGGAGCCTTAGCTAGGTGAAGACGAGTTTCCTCAAACAGAATCTCCTGAATAGCTGCATCCAAGGTAGGAAGTGGATGCCGATGTAACAAAGAGGCACGAACTGCCTCATACTTTGGACGCAAAGCCATTAAGACCTGAATGAGGCGAAGATGATCAGGATTGATCTCTGCTTGATCCAACCGATGCCAAAGGGGTTGCACTTGGGCAAGGAAGTCGTTGATAGATTGTCCTGGTTCCTGTTTTAGATCGTGGAGAGTGCTCCATAACTGATAATAATGTGCCAAACCAGTAGCACGGAAGCGGACTGCCAAGAAATCCCACGCTGCCTTGGCAGTGTCAAATTGGGCAAGCTGAACATGGATCGCCGGAGTGGAAGTATTGCGCAACCAAGTGAGAATTTGATGGTTTTTACTATCCCAATCTTCCAATTTTTCAATATAAGATTCAACAACTGTGGCGGTAGGCGTAACTTCTCCTATAGAGACTGGAGCAATGGGGGCAACTATATCTCCCGTAACAATTCGCCACAATTTCCGACCTATCAAAAAACTTTTCATCGATTGTGCCCACAAACTGTAATTATCTCCAGACAAAACAACATTGATCGGAATATGTACATCCATCTTTTCCATAGAAACTCAAGAGAAAACAGAATCTCAAACCTCAAGCCGAAAGCCGAAACGAAAGAAACCGAATCAAAACCCGAAACACAAAAAGTCAACCGGATACAAAAAACTGCTCAAACCGAGGAAGTGAAGATACCATCGCGGAGGAAATCAAATTCCGAACACGACGGTGCAAAGATCGCCGCCAACGGCCGCCGCACGCGCCCCCACGCGCCGGCGAGGCGTCCGGCCGGAAAAACACGTCGGGCGCGTGTGACTCTCACGCGCCGCCGTTCGCCGAACTGTTCCGGCGTCCGGCCGGTCTCGTGACGGCGAAGGCGATGGTGGTGGCGGTGACGGTCGGAAGTGATCGGATATATGCTATCTGGAATTCGTGGGTTGTTTCGATTTAGTCGGGAAAAAGCATGGCTCTGATACCATGATACGATTTATGGAATAAACTCTATTTTCATTGAACACAATTAGGGTACAATATTATATTTATACAAGAGATATATTAGGTAGAATATATATATCAATATATAAAATATATATATACTATATATATATCAACAGATAAAAATATATATATATATTGTTTGAACTCTCAGCCTTATCCATTCTCTTCTCCATGTTCTGAATGAGTGTTTGACATTTTAATCCGCCGGAGAGTTCATCGGAGTTTTTGAAGTTCCGGTCAGCAGAGATGTCCAGATTCTGAGCAGCCATGCTCTGTGGTAATTGTCCGTACGAGTTTTTGATAGCGTAAACCTGTAGAGGAGTTTTTCAAAGTAAACCATTGTAAAGGTATTGATTGAAGAAGTTGTGGTTTGTCTATATTTTATAATCAGCACCGATTAGTTGAACTTTTCCTGAATTGGTTTCCCCGGATGTAGATTGATTTATAACTGAACCGGGTTTACAATCCCTTGTTTCAATAACTGCTTTGAACTTCTGCATTCAAACTACTGGCAGTAGAATGTTATAACTGTGATATAATTACGCTTCGAGAATTTGCCCTATTTTAAATGTTCGAAGGAGTTTTGGTGTGTTGCGGAAATTTCAGGAAATCAAGAAGAGACAAACAAGGATACAAGAACATAAAAATTTGGTAACCCAGTTCGATCAGAATGATCTACGTCTGGGGCGCTGCAAAGTCAGAAATTTTATTGTAAAGTACGCAAGCACATGTTAAAGTGAGAATACATAGATATTTATAGGCCAAACCTATGCCAATAATATCCAAAGCATATCTCTAAAATCTAGAATATAATATCTAAATCATATCTAAATTATATCCATAGATTTTAGAATATAATCAGGCTTCATATCCCAACATGATGCAAGATCTATTTCTCAACTTTTGTTATTAGAGCAGTGCTCTCTAAGTTGCAGAGCAGATCCGTTCAGGAGTTGCAAAGATGAGCAAGGAAGGTGGTTCAAAAACCACCATCTCGCTCTTTCCTTTCTTCGGTGCTACCTCTTTTTTTTTCCAAGGGATGGGGTTGGGGTGTATAATAACCTTTTTTTTTAGAATGCCCGTGAACAACTCCTAGGTCAATTAAGGAGAAAAATAATATGAAACTTTTCTGATGTCTCAAGGAAAAGATGTTTATGATATTGTTGAGTTTTTAACTATTCAAGGAGAAGATGATGTATTTTTATCTTTTTTATTGATTTGTACTCCGTCCGTTCCAATCCAAATGAGCCATTTAGAATTTTGTAATAGATTAAAAACTAATAGTATTTTATTAGTTAGTTGGAGTGTGTAAGATATTTTGATATTTTTGTCCTTTAACTTTATATAAAAAGTAATTGTATGTGTAACGGTATATTTGTAATTTAGGTAAAAGTTAAGACTATTTTGGTATTAATGTATGATTACTTTTACTAAAATAGGAAAAAGATACTTTGAAGTGAAACACACGAAAATGTTAAAAAAAATGGTACTTTTAGTTGGAACGGATAGAGTATTACATATCAATATAATACTAATACTAAAAAAAATCACGTAAAAAAACAAACGACACTCTTCTTCCGGGACGGAAGGATTATTTAGATTATGCTTTTTTTTAAGGCAAAATAGCATAAAACACCATGTGTGGTTTTGCTGAATTTGCTAAAAAAAATCACATGGTTCTAAAACTCCAAAAAAACTACTTGTGGTTCGTAAAACGTTGCATAAACCCCTCGTTAAGCCTTAATGGAGAGTGTATGTGACGCGCCTAAAATGCAATTTTGTTTTGTCCAAAAAATGATAAATATTTTGCAAATTACAAAAATGCCCCTCTGAGCACTGTTCTCTTTCTTTCCATTCTCTCTTCTCTCGTTCCCCTTCTCTTATTAGTCCATTTGAGCTTAGAAATGATAAATATCTAATTCTAATCCGCTGGTTCTTGAACTTGGTGCGCCTGATGAAAAAGAATTGGAGAAGAAAAAGGAAGAAAAAAAAATAAAAAAAAAAGAATTAGAAAAAAGAAGAAAAATGAAGAAAACAGATTGAAAAAAAAAAAGAAAAGAAAGAACTTGGTTTGCCCGAAGAAGAATTGGGCAAGAAGAAGAAGGATGAAAAATATTGGAAAAAAAAAAGAAAAAAAAGATAAATGCTTGAAGAAGAATTAAGAAGAAGAAGAAAGAAAAAAATTGGAAAGAAAAAAAAAAAAACTGTTAGCTTTAAGAAAAATTGGAGAAGAAAAATTGAAAAAAATAAAAATAAATAAATAACCTGTTGGCTTGAAAAAGAATTGAAAAAATGTAGGAAGAAAAAAAAATTAGAAAAAATAAAAAGAAAGAACCGAATTGGGAAAGAAAAAATTAGAAAAAAAATAAAAATTAACATGTTCGAGTCTGAAAGCATAATTGGGAAAGAAGAAGAAAAAAGAAAAAAAAATTGGAGGAAAAGAAAAAAAGAAAGACCGGCGAACAACTCAAGCCCGGCGCAACGACGGCTTCGACTCCGAATAACAATTGTGTCTAGCGTAACGATTCTTTCACCGATCTTCTGAAAATAAATTGGAGAAAAAAAAAAAAAAAGAAGATAAAAGAAGAGGAAGATGATGAGAGTAAATATTTGGGAGAAAAAGAAAGAAGAAGATGAGAGGGAATGTCCGGGAAGAAAGAACAAAGAAAGAGAAATAAATTAGAAAAAATATAATTCAACTTATGTTAATATAATTTAGAGGGGAGGGACGAATGTGCAATATTTTGGAAATCACGAATAGATTTTTTGAAATTTTATAACCACGAGAAATTTTCAGCGAATTCGAAAAACTACGAGATTTTTTGCTATTTTGCCGTTTTTTAAAAAAAATAAAATATTTTTTTCTCTCCAAATATCGCACTAAATATTATTTAAATACAAAACTAAGCAAAATTATTTCCAAACAAAAAAAAAAAAAAAACCATATATATATATATATTTGTATGTATGATATACAAACGGGGTGTGTGTGTGTTCATACTCTCTACCTTTTACTTTGAGTTTCTTGAATGACGTATAGCCGTTGATTGTTCACAGGCTTTACAATATTGTCCGCAAATATTGTACAACAAAATACACTATTGCAATAAACAGTGCAATTTGGTATAAATCTCTTTGGAAGTTGTCATCCCTCTGAAAAAACTGCTCCAAATCACACAAATTAATTCAAATCAAGATTTTATTTTTACCAAAATTTCAAGAAAAATAATCGAAAATGAAAAGGGCCCGGATGAATTTACGTATAGTTATATAGTTACCTTTGTCGGGTCCCCGGTCGGGTCGGGATAACTTTCGATGTTCTTGTTCTCCGTAGCCATACGGTTTGTTAAGTCCTTGATGAAATTTGAGGCATCCTTTCCTCCCTCGACCGTGGCAAAAATGCGCCTCGACATCCAAAAATATGTTTGTGCAATCATCGATGATTCGGACAAGTCCCATGATTCCTCGTGCTCGATCACTTGTCCGCTTATTTGGTTCATTGTGAAGATCGAATCCACTTTGACGATCACGTCTCCTCCGGCTATGAAAAATGGGGATTTCGGCTTTCCGCGCAATGTCCACTTGATGTTTAGGACACTAGTCGATAGCATCTCCATTTGTTGCACGGTCTACACGAGTTTGAACTTTTTTAAAAAAGACAGCACATTAAATACATATTTTTTATTTAAAATATTATATTAAAAACTTTTTATTTATTGGTTTATTATAAAATATCACCTTCAACGTCTATATAGAGATATGTGCTAAATAGACTTTCAATTATTGAGTATAATGCTGAAAAGACAGACCATACATAACATATAAATATAAATGCAAATAATTTAAGAGAGTGTGATTGAGTCACTTCGACCAATTAATGTTTTGGCAATAAGGTGTCAATGAATAATTACTCACAAATGAATTTTTTTTTAACAATTGTAAAGATAAAATATATTTTTATAAAATTTGAAGAGTGCAAAGTTTAAAAAAAAAAAAAGAAAAAAAAAAGAGAAAGCAAAAAAATAAAAAATTTATATTGACAAACAGAGATGCATCACCACTTGATGTACAAGAATTTGGCACCTTGAAATGCACTTGAGGAATAACATGTATGAAACCATCTACATATTATTTTTTTTTTTTTTTATATATATATATATATATATAACCAAATTTTTTATTATTTATTTTATACCGTTACTAAAATAAATTATTTTTTAGAGAAAATTAATTAATTAATTTTTTATTTTTTTATTTTTTGTAATTGATCCTTATCATCGTTATTATTTTAACCCGTAACTGGAGTGTGTATAAAAATGGTCTCGTAAGTAATTTTTTTTTTATACAGTTAATTATTTGGCGCCGGAAATGCACAGACACGTGATGTCTACCCGGTGAGCACGTGATGTTTATCTGACGGACAAGTATGCTCCAATGTACCATGTGGGTGCCATGTGCATATCTCCGACGCCGAAAAACCAATTATATCAAAAAATCACTTACAAAATTATTTCTGTTCGAAATTAAAATGATAAAGAGGTGAATTAGATGACTAAAAATAATTTTTCTATTTTTTTATCATAAAATAGCATATCAAAATTCTATTTAAATCATAAACCTAGCTCAATCAAAAATCAAACAAACTTAATTTTTTGGAAGATCTAAAGTTTTAGAAATTTTTAAAAATAAAAATAAAAATGGACTATTTCATATAATAGTTTTAAAATTATTAACAAAAATAATTTTTTAATTTAAGTAAATATATAAACAGATCTTGTTATGAAGTAAAATTTCAATAGAGCACACTACAAACATAAATTAACAATCAATCCAAATATTATTTCGAAATTTTTGATGTTTCGAAAGATTATTATCTAACGATAGATAAATATAATGTCGAGAAAACGTAACTCACTGTTGTTGGATTTTCAAGCGCATCCGTCGCCCACAATCGTCGCTTATACTTGTCCCTTCCCTCGAAGCTTCGCACCGGATCCTACAAAATAAAACAAAAAACAAAACAAAATGGTCTTATTTGCGACGCAAGACTTTGGTCACGTACAAAATTCTGTCGCAAAATTCGTTGCAAATTTTTTTGTATTTATCCATACCTATCCCAACCATTGTAACGACACCTAACATGTGTAGCAAAGTTTCATAATTAATAACACAATTTGGATATATTTCTTTAGCAATATTTTCTCAAATTTTACTATTTAAACTCTGTATTTTTCGAAAAAAATATATTTTTTTCTCTCACAGAATATTCAATCAAACATTATTTTCATACCAAATCCAAATCAAATTTTTTCCAAACTCATCAAAAAACACACCCAAAATTTACAGTTCATAAAAACATTATACGGAACAAATACCAAAATTTTAGTATTACAAATCCAAATTAAGTTAACTGTAGTTCATCATTATACTCGAGACCTAAAAATCTGATGTAAATTACCATCTCGCCTAAAAGCTTAATATTTTAGGATACCCATCATTTATTTATTTATTTACAAACGGGAGTCGACCAACCAGCACTATGTACTGTAACAAAAACTTTGGCGACAACATACATACCTTGTACTTAACCGAAAGCGCGAAGCAACCGAAGGCGCGATTGTCCTGACGGAGTTCAAGGATGTCGCGGACGAGCTGCCTCGCCGTCGATTCGACCAAAGGGCTACTAATACATTCGAACTCATCGCAGAGTTCGCCGAAGTCGAGCCCGTCGACCATGCGGTCCGCCTCCGACCTCTCGGCGCCGGCCGACGACGACGTCGACTCATTGACGACTGCAGAAGAAATGCCGACACGTTACAATGGATCATCATGCAAGAAAATTACGTACGTTACCAAGGCGGCCGGCACAACCTCGGAGGGTGTCGCGGCGGCGCGGCGAGGCGGCGGCGGGGAAATTGGCGGCGCGAGGAGTGGGGTGTAATAACGTAAAGTTGAGAGGCGGAGAGGAAGAAGAAACGGCGAAGGGATGGATCATGACGACGTCGTTTTAGTCAGGGTGGAGAATTATGGAGAATCTCTTGCAAGCCATTTGTTGTTGTGCAATAAGGAATCTCTCTCTCTCTCTCTGTTGGGGAGAGAAGACATTTTTTTTTTTTTAATGATTTATTATTATTATTATTATTATTTTCTTTGCTTTTTTGGGGTATCGGATAAGGCTGGGGATTTGGTATGTGGTGTGTAACGATGACAAGCCACTAATAGGAAGAAATGTTATCTACCATATATTTATTAAAGTAGCAATTTATTTATTTATTTATTTTTCTATGTGTAAATGTGGCCACGTTTGCCTTTTAATTCCCAAAATATTGTCCGCAATTTATTTTAAAATTTAGAGTTTATTTGGCTGTAATTAATTTGAAATGGGATGTAATTTTATTTTTGGTTAAATGTATTTTAATATGATATTTTTTTTATTATTAAGACTACACAAAATAAATAATATTGTCGGGGATTCTCATTTACGGATAAATAAATTAATGAACTGTTTTTTAATAGCTTGAGTATGCAGGTGAAACGATTATTCTGCTCATCCGATATGATATATTTTTACTGAAAGAACACATATTATATTCATTTTCTTTGAAAATTTTGGAGAGATTTAATTTTTGTTAAGCGAATTTGATATTTCATAGCCTTTTTTTAAGATGTCCTTTTTAAGTTTTAGATCGAAGAAGACCGGATTAATAATTTGTATGAAGAACTAAAATAACATTTTGAAGCTTTGATATGAACGTGTAGGATTTCATTTTATATTTGACCAGTTCCTACACGAGAGGATGATAAGTTTTTCCTTTCTTCTTATAATATTTTTGAGCTTGAAACCATCTCGTCATAGAAAAACTAATTATGGAGAGATCGGCCAAATACGTTAAAGTTATTAAGAAAAATCGACACTTCATCATAAACGATTAGAAAAATATTGGCATTGAGACATATGGACAAAATATGAGCGGTAGAAAGACCGACAACGAATCACCTCGTCCAAAGGTTGGCTCTTATATTAAAAAATTTTGAACTCGATATGATGTAACTGATACACTAATCTGTGCCGGTATAAATTGTGCCGGCCAAACAAGGTCCGATTGATCAAAATAATTAAAATATATTAATAAGTATATAATAATATTAAATAGTAATTATATATTTAATATTTTAATTTTTAATTATCAATAAAAATATTATTTTATCATAATATATTTTTTTATATTAATATAATTTTAATTTTTTATTAAAAAATTACACAAAATATAATTAAATTTTAAATTTATAAAGGAATTTGGCTAACAATTTGAGATTGGGCCATATATGGGCCTGGGTTTTTAAATGATGGTTTTAGAACTAATAACCAAGATGAATGAGATATTTTTAATAAATAAATAAATAAATAAATAAAAATGCATTCATCCATTGAATATCTTGTCTTAATATATGGTTGATATAGAGATAAAGAACTTTTAGGTTATTGAAGAGCTTTTAGCTATTTGAAATATTGTAAATTAGCTAATTTTGATGTTTGGTACCCTTAAGATTAATTAATTTTTTTTTACATATATTCATATGTTTTTTTATTACAATATTTATTGATTATTTAGATATATTTTCTTCTAATAACTTATAAATTTCTATTTATAAATTTAAAATAATTATTTTTTTATATATCAATTATTTTATTTATAAATTTTTTAAATTTTTTAAAATAAAAATAATATAAAAATATTAATATTATGGAATTAATTATATAGCATTTTTTATCAATAATATTTTTATTAAAAATGAATATATAAATTTAAAATTATAAATTCAATGTAAATATATATTAACTAAAATTAATAAAATAAAAATACATATGTTAATAATTTTTGCTCTTTTATATTTATATTATTTCTAATGAAAAAAAATATATATTTTTCAATAAATTTATATTAATTCTTTACAAAATATTTTTAAAATAATAAAAATAAATATCTTACAAATTTTTTTTCTAATTTTTAAAATTAATAATAAAATTATAAAAAAGTTTACCAATTGAAAAAATTCAACGAAATATTTTGAAATTAAAATATAAAATGTCCTTAATTGTCATTATATGTATAAACAGTTAATATCAAACTGTTATTTTACCAAACACTTTAATATAAACAACTAATCGAATCAGCTAGTCAAATCTGTTAATTGAATCAGCTAACAATTATCGAATCAGCTAACAGCTATCAGCTAATTGTCAAACACACCCATGATGTTTTAGAAGTAACGTAATTAATATCTATATAAGTCTTTAAATATATATATTAGTAAAATAATTACAATACAATATAATTAAATATATTAGAATAAAAAACTGAAATTCTCTATTTCAATAGTAAAAACACGCAGATATTTATAATATTTATAGTGCTATACAAATCGTCTAAATAAGACAATAATTCTACGAATCTCTTAAATAAGACAACTACCATAAATATAATATATTACTTCTAAATATATTTTAACAAAATCAATATAATTCTAAATTAGAGATTTTAAAATATAATTAAACATGTAATTTTTTGCCAAAAGAAATGAAACATAAAATGTGAGATCGATCCAAATGATAATATAAGAAAATGTGAGAGGACGGAATACAAATTTGAGTTAAAATGTTAAAATAATATTTCTACTATTCATAAAGCACGAGATTTAAGGAATATTGATATTATATTGGTAGTTGGTAAATAGTATGAATAAAAGATTTTTTTGCCCTTGTGAATGTATAAGAGTAAAAAGTAGTGGCAATTGTGTAATAAAAATGAAAAAGTAGGGGTAGTTTTATGGTGATATAGTTATTTATGGAAATAAGACTATTATTTTAGGACGGACAAAAATGATAAACAAGACTATTGTATTGGGACAGAAAGAGTATTACTTATGGCAGCACACCCCTTATATTAATATAATACAAATACGACATATAAATCAACAACATATGCTATAGTCACATACAAAACATATTTGATTTTAACGCATGACATACTCTTATACTGCGTATATATAATTCTAAACAAACAGCACATGCCTCTATCACACATCATATGCCGTGTGTAATAAGAATATGTGTTGTTTGTATGTATTATAGGTGCTAATTTGAAAATTCAGCACGATGATGAATTTTTCAAATTAGCGTAGTAACCATTCCCATTTTTTTTCTATTTAATTTATTTATATAATTTTCAAAATAATCTACGAATTATAGAATATGAGTTGGGTTCAAGTTACACTATATTTCTATTTTATTTTATTTTTCCTCAAATACAACTCCGGTTATGATACACTGTAATAGAGCTGCTGCTTGACCAACTCTCGTGTGTGGATGAACCGATATTAGGTCATTCGAAGTTGAATATAGATTAAATGAATTGAATAAACTATTCATGTCAACAATGTTCATATTTTTTTTTTCAAGAGCTCTATTTAAAGGACTATAGAGTTAAGTATGCGCGCCGCGAAGACAAAGCACGCTGGAAAGATTCGTATTGACTTGTAGAGTTACTCTTCAATCGCGATAAGAAATTTGTGAAAGTTTTAAAGAGTGTGTTTATTTGTAAAACTTTACATTTGATTTTACTATTTCTATTTTTTTTTTCTGAAAAAAATACCAAATTAAATATTATTTTGAATATCATATTGCATTCAAAATATCAAATCAATATGTATTTATATCAAATCAAATAATTATTTTAAGTTAAAATTTTATTATGCAAAATAAAACCTAAAATCAAAACTTACTAGTAAACACACCCAAAGTTTTTTAAAAAAAATAAAAAATAATAAAATTTAGCACATAATGTGAATTTTTATAAAAAAAATATAGTATTTAATTTTATATATTTAAAAATAAAATGAAATGATACCAAACATCCAAAATATTGCCTAAACAAAACTTATAATCATAGAGCTTCATTCAATTTTTTTTTTCCTAGTTCTATCACTATTTTTGATAAATAAATATATTTATATACATTCAAATCTTGTCTTTTTTTAAATAAAATAATTATATTAATCATAAATAAATAAATATATTTTTATTATACAAAATTCCCTACAAAAGAATAATTTTATTAAAATTTCTCTATTAAGTAAAATTTATTAATAATAACAAACCCACATCGACATAGTGAACAAAACCACTAATTGTCCCTTAACTAAACCAAACTCATATCACTTATTATTAATTTAAAGAATGCTATCCGCTCCACAACACCTAAATCTCTCTCTCTCTCTACTCTCTACTCTCTACTCTCTCTCTCTCTATACATACATATACATATATATATATATAACACATTCTACAATTCCAAATTCATTACATCAATTAAACATCACATATCCAAAATGGCTAAGCTTATTTCCTTATTACTAATCGCTTTCTCCCTCGCCGCCGCCGGCGGCGCCGCCGCCAGAATTCTCGATCAAATTACCCCCCCAATCCCCTTCCCCGACGACCCCCTCCCGCCGCCGCCCACCACACCACCGGTGGAGGATCAACCTCCGGCGACCACCACCGCCGCTCCAGTCGCCCCAACAGAACCGGCACCGGCACCCCCCGCCGTAGCACCGCCGGCAGTAACGCCGCCGGAGACTGGCGGCGGCGGAGGAGCTCCGGGATTTTCGTTCTTCATGCACGATATCCTCGGCGGCACGCGGCCGTCGGGGCGGGTGGTCACCGGAATCGTGGCGAGCTCCGACGCCGGCGGGCTGCCGTTCTCGAAGCCGAACAACCAGATCTTCCCCGTCAACGGCGGCGTCCCACTCAACACCGTCACCGGATTCGTGAACAACAACAACTACCCGTTCCTCGTCGGCCTGAACGGCGCCTCCGCCGTTGCCGGCGCCAGAAACGGCGCCTTTCTCCAGAGCAACGGCAACAATGTCCAGACCGGCGACAGCCAGGCCTTCGTGTCGGCGGGGCAGCTGCCGCAGGGCGTCACTCTGCAGCAACTGATGTTCGGGTCGGTGACGGTGGTCGACAACCAGATCACGGCGGGGCACGAGCTCGGCGCGGCAGTGCTCGGCGGCGCCCAGGGCTTCTACATCGCGAGCTCCTCCGACGGCAGCGCCCACACGCTGGTCCTGTCGGCGATTTTCCATTCCGGCGGCGAGCACCATGAAATCGTCGATACTCTGAGCTTCTTCGGGATCCACCGGACGGCGGCGCCGGTGTCGCACATCGCCGTGATCGGCGGCACCGGAAAGTACGAGAACGCGAAGGGGTACGCGACGATCGAGACGCTGCCGCACGTGGATCAGCACACCACCGACGGGATCGAGACCATTACGCATTTCACTGTCTACCTGACGCCATGATCGGGGGAGACTGGAGCTTTGAGACGGCGTCGTTTCAGTGTTTGTGCTCTGTTTGTTTGTGTTTGTTTCGATTTTCCTTTTTTTCTTTGTTGTGTGCATGTATGTATTGTTGCTAAGGAAATTATGGATTTGTTTTGGTTGTATTTTCACAATTTCACTCACTATTTTAACTATTTATCTACTGTAATTTAATTTTTTTTGTTAGTCTTAAAAATGTCGTATTCTATTTTATAAAAGTTTTTTCATTTTATCAATTTATCTATCACAAGTGTACTATTTGTCACTAATGATCTTCTAAATATTTATGAGCTAATTTGTCATCTTGAGCTAGCTACGAAGTTTTAGGTATTATATAATTAGTAAATAATTAAAAAATGTATTAGTAAAAATAATTATATTTTTAGAAAAAAAAAATGACAAATTATGTGAGATGGACGAAAATAAAAAAAGTGAAAAATTATGTGAAATTAACGGAGTATTATTAACTCTGTAAAATTTTTAATTATATCCCGGTAAGTAAAAAAATAATTCTCCGTCCGGCTGTCAAATTCTCATTTTTTTTTGTACCTGTGGTCTTTTTCGTCTATCCGTTAAATTTACCTCGTTCATGTAGTTTGAAAAATCAATAAGTTTATATTTAATTATTATCCTTCATGAACACTTATTTACCACAAATTTTACTAACTTTGTTATATTATCTTTCTTTATTGTTTTAAATTACTAACTAAATTTTTAAAAATAGTACAAACTATCTTTTACTTTTTTCACTTTTAGAATAAAATATTCATTTTTTAAAATTGTCGTACAAAACCCAAATAAGTTAAATATAACGGACGGAGAGAGTGTTAAAATACTATTTTTTAAAAAAAATTTTAATACAAAAATAAAATAAAAATTGATACTAGTATATTATATTAGAAAATAGCATAATCAAAAAGTTTATTTGGCAAAACAAAATATAGGTAATAGTGCGTCAATTTTATTTTTATTATCAATTTTTTTTTATTACTCCTAAAAATAAAATAACTATATGATTTTTCAATTCGACCCTAGAGCTCATAGCTAGGATCTTTTTGTCCAATCAAAAAATTTAATTAAATTCACGGCTTATTATACAGGCTTCGTTCACAAAGCATTCTTAGATAGATTGATTTTTATATGTGATATAAAAAATTGTATCAAAAGTATAAACTATACATCTTCCGTCCTAATACAATAGTCATGTTTATTATTTTTGTCCGAACAAAAAAGTTTTTTACTCGTACTTTTTATCCACTGCTAATATAATATCAATATTCCTTAAATCTCGTGCTAAATCTAACACAAACTATAATTTTGGGACGAAGAAAGTATTATTTTAAGCTACCAGCATTGACAAAAATATCAAAAACTTGAAACTTGGGTTGTTTGTATTTTGGAAGACAAAGTCTGAAAAAGTTTTGTCCCTTTTTTTTTTAATAAAATAATCAAATTTTTAGAATTATAAATATAAAAAAAATTATAATAATTATAATTAATAAAATATTTACAATATATATATATATATGGATATATAAAATATATTTTATTATAGGTCCGTTGTCTACAATTTGGCACAGTTTGGCCGACCCAAACAACAGCAAATTTGACTTTATTTTTATTTTTATTTTTTTAAATTAAATTTTTTTTTTTTGGTTGAGTTTGAGAAATTTTAGTTCGAATTTGGTATTAAAATAATGTTTGATGAGATATTTTGTGAGAGAAAAAAATGTATTTTTTTTGAAAAATACATAGTCCAAATAGTAAAATTTGGAAAAATTTGGATAAAGAAACATACCATATATGTATGTGTATTAATTATAAGGGAAAAAATGTAGTATTTTTTTCCCTTAATATTTATTATAATTATAAGGGGAAAAAATATATACAATATATATCATTTTGTAGAGAATAAAATTTTATATAATACAAATAAATAAAAATTTAAATATATAAATATGTTGGGTATAATATAAATTCATAATCGAATCATATAATATAAATTTTATCAATTAAATTTAATACACATTTATAATATTTTATTTATTATCCATCAAATCAATACATATCAAAACTACCAAAACCCCAACAAAACAAAAGAAACAACAAAATTCAAACTCATCCCAAAATTCAAATAAAAACCAATGGACACATGTTTTTCTTGTAAAAGTTATCGAACTCATTCTATTCTTTTGCTTGTTCAAATGTAAATTTGAAAATAGAATGTGAATAGTAGGGCTGGCAAACGGATCATGTCAGGTCGGGTTCAGGTTCGGATCAGCTTAAACGGGTTACAAAATCTTTGACCTGAACTTGATTCATTTAATTAAATGGGTTACTTTTTATTAATTGGATCAACCTGATCTGACTCGTATAACTTGTTTAAATCTAAAAATTTTAAATTTTAATTTAAAATTACAATTTATACTAACAAAATTCAAATGCATAATATATATACATATTAAAGTAAAAAATTATTTATTCATATCATGAAATCGATATTCAAGAATTGAATTAACAAACACTACAATAGTACACAACACAATCCTTTATTTTTTATTGTTTATTTTTATAAAATTGACCATAAATATTGAATTGTACTGATAAAATTTTAAAAATATATTTAGATTTAAAATAATATTAATTAAACAGGTTATACGGGTTATTTTCAGGTCGAAAATTCAGACCTTAAGCTGACCCATTTAATTAAATGAGTTAAACGAATTTGACCCAATTATTAATTGGATCGAAAATCTCAACCCAAACCCAACTATTTTAGGTCAAGTTCGGATCGGGTTATCAGGTTGAGTTAATTTTTATCGGCCCTGATAAATTGTATGTTTGAATGAAAATAAATAAATATATTACATATTTTAAAAAATTGATAATGATTTAGTGAAATTAATTATCATTTTAAAAATAAAAACATATGATGAAATGGACACAAGTAATACTTTACTCTAAAAAGTATGGAATAGAAATAGCATAATATTAGATAGTTGACAACATAATAAAAGTTTGTTTGGTTTTAAAATTGATTTAAAACTGAATGTTATTTTAAAATTTTTGTTCAAATAATATTTTAATATAATATTTTGTTAAATAAAATAATACAATATATTTGCATTGAAAATGAATAACTAATATAAAAAAAACATAATACTTTATAATGTATAGAATTTGTTTACCATAGTAGTTTTTAACGCTATTTTCAATATATATTACATTTTTCACACAAAAATTAACTTTTAATATAAAATATTATTTTTTATTTTATTTATCTTACTTTTTACATTTCATATAAAAAAAATTAAATAAAAACACTAAACAAATAAATCTTATTTGAAAGGGATTCCATTCAAAGTATTAAACAAATAAACCCTACTGATATAAAAATAATAAAGTGTGTTAATATATTTATTTTTTAAAAAAATATATTAAATATTTTTTACAAAAAAAATACATCATATTATTTACTTAGATTTTTTTTTTTTTAAATTATGATGATTTAAAGTGAAAAATAAATATATTCTTAATTATTTTGTAAATTTATGAAATCAGAAGGATGTGTTTATTTGGAGTTTGAATGTTGAATGATATGATATAAATAGATATTAATACGATATTTTGAATATAAAATTAATTTTTATTATAATATAAAAAATAAAAAATAAAGGTTTAATTTCACGTCTTGAAAAAAAAAAAAATAATAAAGAGAGGAATAATATATTTAAAATTCATTCTCCCGAAATGTACTATGAAAAGGGGAAGCAGCAAGTCAATTACAATCGGAGATAATCTTATCTTAGTTTTACTCCATAAATATTTCACACTTCTATCCTTCTCAATGTCGCCGCCGTTCATCTCTGCCGGACTTTTCCGGCGGCTTTAGGTCTATAATCCCCCCAAGTCGAACCGCCGGCGCTTCACTATACACACACAATGGCTTTCACATTCGCACCCTTAAAGCTTCCTTCTCCCCTCATCTGTCGAGCGAATTCCACGTCGCCACCGTCGCTCGCCTTCGACGCCGCCTACATCAAACGCGCCGCCGAGCTAGCGGACAAATCCGCCGGTTTCACGGCGCCGCACCCAAACTCCGGATGCGTGGTAGCCAACACTGCCAGTGATGGAAGACAATTGGTGGTTGGAGAGGGATATCTGTACGCGCAAGGCACCGCTCCGGCAGAGCTGCAGGCGGTGGAGGCCGCGGGCGAGCGCTGCCGTGGCGCCACGGCTTATCTCAATATGGAGCCAAATCATTCCCTCGAGGATCAGACAGCGGTCTCTGCTCTCATCCAGGTAAGTCGATTTTGAAGGATTGGATGCCATTTCCGCTTCTGCAACCTTCTAGAATCATCCGATGTGATATTCAGTACATCGTTAGCAACTGTGAAACTGCAACATTAGAAATACAGTATGTATTTTGGCAAGATTAGATGTTGTTGGAGGACGATTCTGGTTGACTTGTTTTGTTATGAAAACCTATCCCCTTTCTGCGGTCGATGTTGCTAGAAATAATGAATTGATTTGCGATATTATGCTTCCACAGATTCCACAATGTGACTATTTCTTTTCCAGATTTGATTTACTGAATGATTAAGTAAAAATTAATGGTTACTTGTGGATGGATATTCAGGCTGGAATTACTAGAGTCGTCATTGGAATTAGGCATCCTTTGCAACATCTTCGGGGAAAGGCTATTAGTGCTTTTAGAAGTGAAGGATTAATGGTAGATGTTCTTGGTGAGGATCTCCAATGTAAGAGCATAGAGGTAACGTATGCAAAAAATGGAAATTATTATTGGTTGTGTTTTGGACATGTTTTGGTGTTTTGGAATGTTACTGGATTTGAAAATATTTGAATGAATAAAATGGGTTTAGGATGTGATGTTTAGAATCCAAGAAAGATGTTGATGCAAAGTTTTGAATGAAAAAATAGGTTTTGGACCTAATTTTGAGTAAACGTATGCTTTTTCTAAAGTTTTTATTCTTCTCATTATATAAGACATGACTCCACTTCGATATCTTTTTGAGTTCAAAGCATCTACCTAACTGTATTTTTAGATTGTTTTGTCACTAACAGTTTATATTGGTATGCGACATGTTTCTGTATTATAGTATTAAACATAGGCATTCTGGCATAAATGAATGCAAGCAATCACTTCTTAGTAAGTGTTATAAAATGAAATTTGTGGTCGATTATGCATCATGATATGAAACTTAACTACTTTCTATTGTGCTGTGAGATTGTAGAAATTTGTTCCTCTCACTTCCTACTATATATAGCACAGCACCCGTGGACATCAAATCTTCGAATTTGCGATTTCAGTGCATGCCAATTTCCTGTCATTTGATGGTTAGCAATCAAATATGCTCGTTATTATACTATTCAAGGTGTGCTGGCTTAAATTGGAATATTGGCTGTTAGAATGAATCTACAGTATCTGATTGCATGATCATAACATTTTGGTACAAGTTATTATGCTGTGGTTTTTAATATTCATGGAATTAAAATTGTTATCGTCCCTTGATTTTCTTGAGCTTGTTATTTTCTTGTTTTTCAAATTGTAAAAGTATTTACCTTGGCTTTGCCTGTAGGATGCTCTGAAGTCCTGTCTTCTAGTGAATGCTCCTCTACTATATAGGGCCGCGTGTCAAGTTCCATTTTCTGTTCTCAAATATGCAATGACCCTTGATGGTCAGTAAACGGAGTTATTTGTGTCTTCACCAATTTGAAAATTTGTCTCAATTATAACTTTTACCCGGACATTTCTTTGGATGAGTTTATGCCATTAGAGCTATTCCTGATTGCGACGTTGGTAAGCAGGAAAAATTGCTGCTAGTAGTGGGCATGCATCATGGATAAGCAATCGACTGTCTAGAACACAGGTTTTTGAGCTGCGTGGTAGAAGTGATGCTGTTATTGTAGGAGGAAACACTGTACGCCGGGATAGTATGAATCTATAGTGGTTTTTACTTTTTGATGCATTAATATTCTTGACTATTAAGCTTCTGGTCTTAATTCATTTTGAAATGTAGATCCGCGCCTAACAGCAAGACATGGGGGTGGCCACATGCCTCAAAGGATTGTAATGTCCAAATCTCTTGATCTTCCCGATGTTGCAAACTTGTGGGATGTTACTGAGGTTTCTACCTTAGTTGCAACACAGAGAGGGGCAAAAAGAAGTTTCCAGAAATACCTTGCATCGAAGGGTGTTGAAGTTGTTGAATTTGAAATTTTAACCCCCAAAGTTCTAATGGAATATTTGTACGACCGTGGCTGCCTTTCGGTTTTGTGGGAATGTGGAGGCACATTAGCTGCATCTGCTATATCCTCTGGTATCATACACAAGGTATGCACGAGTAAATGTGAGCAGTCATTTTGATGGCTTTGGAATTAAGAGATCTAACAATTATTGAATTCTTGCTGTCTCCATTGGGTAATTCCACTTGTCTGGTCCGGTTCTTTTTAAGCCAATGCTTAATTTAGTTAACCTGTCGATTCGTTATTGTAAAATGCAAATAGTGTGTTTCATAGTTAATTATTGTTATAATTAATTTTCTAGTTATAAACGTATTGTGTCGAGCAGGTTCATGCGTTTATTGCCCCTAAAATTATTGGGGGTAAAAATGCACCTTCTCCTGTTGGGGAACTGGGGATGGTGGAGATGTCGCAAGCACTGGAATTGATCGATGTACACTATGAGCAGGTTAGCAATGTTTCAGTCTGTATTTTTCTTATATTGGGTCAAATGGTCTTCGATAAACATCCTCATTACCTCTGTAGGTTTACATTTGGTCTAGAAAATGTTTAATGATAAAGTAGAAGGATAGAAAGACTGAATTTTGTGACATCTGATGATGTTTCGTAGAATCGCAGGTTGGTTCTGATATGCTAGTAAGTGGATTTCTTCACCCAGTTCCCGACTTGATGCCGGTTATCCCATCCATAGACGAAACTTCTGCAATCGATCCCTCTTTTTCTCCATACGAATCAAGCATTATATTTTTCTACAAAACATGGGATCCTTACGGCGCCTTTTCAAATTTCTCTCCACATCCTATTCAAATGCCCGATGAAAATGGAGACAATTACAGCTGGCCTAGTGTCGAGCACTATTACCAGGTTTACACTTTACCCTCTTTTTCCTTTAGTTTTTACACCCCACATTTACATACAACTGTTTCTAAATTCTGCATTCTTGATAGGCTCACAAGTTCGTCGGGTTAGATGATCCCATCGCAAAGACCTATTTGGAAGCAATTAAAAATGCAAAAAGCCCTGAGGAAGCAGCACGAATCGGAAGGAGAGCACAAAGACAGCGCCCAGATTTGGTATTTATGCTCATTCATTGATCGTAACTCGGTATTACTAAACAATCACCTAATTCAAAGGCTATCATCATCAATACCAGGTGAGATCTGATTGGGAATCTGCAAAGATCAGTGTTATGTACAAAGCTTTAAAATGCAAATTCTCTACACATCCTTGTTTAAAATCGACCCTGCTGTCTACTGTTGGATCCGTCCTCGTTGAGGCCTCGCCCCACGATCTTTTCTGGGGTGGCGGCCGAGATGGGGAAGGGCTTAACTATCTCGGGAGGCTGCTGATGCAGCTGAGGTCTGAGTTTTCGGCTGAGTCTGCGTCGAATTCCCAGCAGCAAGAAGCTTCTGCCACAGCATAGCCAGATTCGAAAACTCCCCTGAAATAAGGTAACTTAATCGCGCTTTTTCTTAGTATTCAGCTATGTTATATACATATATATATATATATATTTATATTTATACATTCAGATTCATAACGAATTCTCTTACTTGAGTTATTCAGATTTTTGCTGATTACCTGCTATGTGGAAATTTTTGTGCTCAATTCCTTTTCTATCAAGTATGTTCAGTTTTTCTATCAAATTCTCTTATTCTTTTATTTATTTTTTTCATATGCTAATTTTAATACACTTTCCGACAGCATCTAAAAGTTAGATTTACCTTTTGTGTCACTGTAGCCTTAAAAATATCCTCGTATCTGTGTAGCCTTAAAAATATCCTCGTATCTGTATAATTTCTTTTTTCTACAAATATTATTACAGCAGCGTTACAAGACACTAATAGAAATTGTATAAATGTAACCTTTTTTCTACACTATTTTAGTTTGTTATACTAAAAATATCAATTTTCCATTATAATAAAAATAATTCTATATAAATACCAAAATTTTTATAATATTTACAAAAATATTTATATTTTATACTTGACAAAAATGTCAAAGTTATCTTACACAAAATAATACTCCTATCTCATAAAAAAAAAAAAAGTTTACTTTTCTTATTTTTCTAGTATTTTTTAAAATAAAAAAGTCATACCATTTTTTATTTTTTTAATCATTTTTTAGTATATTTTTAAAAAATAAAAATACATACTAATTTAATATTTGTGTTCAAACCAAATAAGCCCCAGTATATTGTATAGTAATGTTTTTAATCAGTAACATTCCTAATATGTTTAGTACTATAGTTTGGTCTTTTTTTTATACTCATTTCGTTCACTTCATAGGTAAATATTTGCAAGTTTGGTTTGGCAAAAAACAAGATATATATTTCTCTTTTTAATAAGTATTATCACAATATTTATTATAAGTAGTTTTAAATTTAAATTTATTGATATTAATATTATTACATCAAATTAAAATACAAGAGAAAATAATTATTTATACACAAGCATCCTAATTATCATTTAAATATTATTGTTTTTAAATTTTCATGCCAAAAACTATATATTTATTAACCTAAATGAACGGAGGTAGTATTTAATATAATGATTTTTTTTGTTTTTATATATATAGTTTTCTTGTAAAAATATATTTGATAACATTTATTTAATAAAAATGTGTTTCATATGATGTTTTGTAGGAGTCGAAAAAATATCCGAATCGAACCTTCGAACGGCTGAGTCGAACTGAATTTTTGGTTAACCGAGTAAATTTGGTCCGAATACAAATATTGCATATTTGATATTTGTTCAGTTCAATTTGATTTCGATTTTCAATATTTTTTTCGATTCGATTAACCGAATTGAATATATTTGTATTATTATATTTTAAATTTTATATTAATAATTATATTATATTTGGATTCAATACGGTTTAAAATATTTGCAAATATTTTTATTTAATTAAAATTTTAATTATTTTGTAATTTTTTAATTTTTAAATTCGATTTGGTTCGAATTATTTTGGTTTAGAATGCAGTTTACAATTTTGAATATTTGTTCGGTTCGATTGAAATTATTTTGGTTTAGAATACAGTTTACAATTTTGAATATTTGTTCGGTTCGATTGAAATTGTAGATACTTGTGTTTTTGCAAATATTTGAATCGGATCCACTCATAATATTTTGAATTAATATTATTCTTTTTATATAATGTATTAAATAAACATAAGAAAAATATTGATGGATAATTTGGAGACGAAAACCGAATGAAGCATACCTTTTTTTGTTCTCTTCAAATGTGACTTGATGTTATACACGTATATACTTTATATGTAATTAGGTGGATGCGATTAAATTAAACACGTACTGTAATTTTATAAACATGTACTGTAATTTTATTTGATGTGTATATGGTTAATTTTCAACGATGAAATTGAGCGGTGGAAATGCTTATATATATATATATTATTAATTTGTTTTTCCTTAGGATCGATGAGTCAGATTGTTTCTGCAATCAAATAATACTCATTAAGAATATTAGTAGGTTAGTATTAATAATAAGAATAACAATAAATATAAATTAAGAAAACAATGTTATAATCTAACGAAATATTTGAAATAATTTGGTATGCTCAGGTCATAGCTCACTCCGTGTCAACTCTAAATTTTCCAACGAGAACAACACCACAAAAGGGGAGTGATAAGTGTTTTGATACCAAGGAACCCAAAGAAGGAAGAAGATTGCACAAAGGTAAATAGGAATACAAAGGATCACATCCAAGCGATGTCTCTCTCGGCTCTCACTCGCTTCACTCCCTTCCAAACCCATCGCCTCACACACACACACACATATATAGGCTACCAAAAAACCACATAAAGCCCCAAAATTATGAACAAACTTACCTTGTTAATTGAAGAACAAAGGACCCGAAACAGAATCAGATTTGAATAAGACCAAAGAAGACGGAACAAATCACCCTTAAAACATCAATTTCGGATTGGAGGAGAAGAGAGGTCGATAATGGGTCTTAATCAATACGAATAAGATTTGGGGAAAGAAGTGTATGAATTGGATCGGTATAGGCAGGGTTGGATCGGGTCGGGTCGACCATCATGGTTGCATTGGAGGGCATAATCAGAAGCGGAAAACATGCTAACATCATCGCTTTTATATATGCAACTTACCACAGAGATATTGCACACAAAAGTATATATATATAAGCACAAAGTAAACATATATGCCAACAAAGTAAACAATACCAAGTTATAAAATCAACCCATCTAATTTTCAAAGTTAACATATAACAAAAACTTTAGAATAATATAATATGTACCAACAAAAGGATGCAACATAGAGCTACAAATTGAAAATAAATTTCTCAAGGGCAATATTAAGTAACCATTCAGTTTCCACACTGGATCAATAGTAGAAACATTATCTCTTACTATAAACACGTCACCTACAACCTCATCCTCTGTAGTCACATTCGCTTTATCACGTTGTTGTTTTCTAAAGTTTTCTTTAGAATGTGAACATTGATTTATAAAATGATTCTTATTATCACAATTATACCACTTCCTATTCTTACCTTTTCATTTTTCTTTATTCTTTTGATTACCAAAATTATGTGACTTTCCTCTAGCTAACAAAACCTCATCATAAGTTTATTTTTCTTTCCCATTAATTTGTAAGTCTAATTCCTTACTCTTTAATCCACTAATTATTGTTTCAAGAGTTACATTATCTTTACCATACTTAATAGCATATTTGACATCAGAAAAATATTCAGGAATGACATTCAAAAGTACAATAGGGGTATATTCATCAATATTCTTGTCTCCTATTTGTTTAATATCTTGAACTAGCTTAGAAAAAATATCAAGATTCCTATTTATTGACTTATTTAATTCAAGTTTAAATCTGAAAAATTTTTCAAGCAGAAACAATTTATTCGGCAAAGACTTTTCTATATAGATTTCTTCAATTTTTTTCCAAAGTTCTTTTGCAGAATTATGTTTTCCTACTTTTCCAATCACAGAGTTAGATAATTTCAATATTATCAACGAATATGCATGTTCATCTAACTCAACTTTTTTTTCTTCAGTCAACAACCGATTAAAATCACCATTAATAGTTTTGGCAACTTTTTGTGTTATTAAGATACTTTTTATTTTTTGTTGCCAAATTGAAAAATCAATATTGCCGTCAAAAGTTGCAATAGTCACAGTTGTAATGCCCAAGTATCTACACAAAGTTCACACAATAAACCACACAAGAATGTCACACAATTCGCTAGCTATCAGTGGTCAGCTACTAACTCGTTTTTGGAGCAGCCAGTTATGTGATAGCGGTGTTCAAACTAATCAATATTTACAGAATTTAATCTCCACTTAGCCAACAACTAATTAACAAATAAAAAGTAAGGGTTAGCCTTCCGTTGTCAAATCCAGGGCACAATTTAAAATTTTGTTTTGATCGTACAACCCATTTTCAACCTGGAAGCTCTGAGTTTGCACCCCACTTATCACAAAGGGATCCGCTGTCTGACCAACCACGATTGTCGGGACTGACCCAACATCAGGAGACTTTCGACACAAGGCACATCCACAGGTTACGAGTGCGAGTCCACCACTACAACCAATGCCCAATGCCACCCAATCCACTTCAATATCGAACCAGGCTTTGATACCACTGTTGGGACTGAGTCAACTCAATACTAGTATGATATTATTTGCTTTGAGCTGAGCCCATACGGATTTATTTTTGGACTTCCTCCAAAAGACATCATACTAGCATAGTTCATTTGAGACTTATAAATTGTGAAATTTCTTTCACATCTTTCAATGTGGGACTTGAGTTTGCACCCCAACAATACATTTAGTATGTTCACTCAACATTTTTCAATGGAACAATTCTCCATAAATATTATTAAAAAATACAAATATACATACATATTAATATAATATATATTATCTACTCATAAAAAACTAATCATTCAACACAAAATATTATTTTTTATATTACCAATACAGTTCTCCATACTATACACAAAAATCAATTCATCTTAAAACATTGAGTGAACAGACTGATTATGTATTACAATGAAAGAATAACAAGAAATCTCACCCAATTCTCTATCTCTCACTTATCTATTCTCTCTCCACATTCGCATATATATATATATATATCATCATAAACACACAATATACATGTGTACATATATACACGTCGATATATATTACATACCCACTTCGTCCAATAAGAAAGATATTATTTTCCATATTTGTCCGTAAAAAAAAATGATATAATTTTTTAATTTAGTAATTGTACTACCTACCTAATATAATTAATACCTTAACTTTCAATATATTACACAAATACTATTACTTTTATATCATACAATCTAACAGGGACATTTTTGTCCTTTTCATTATAAACCAATATAATACTAATATTAAAAAATTTATACGAAAAAAACAAATATTACTTTTTTCAGGACGAATGTAATATTATATTATATAATATATAAAATAGTGATTAACGTAGAAGTAATTAATATTTTTATTTGACTATCCCTATAATTATATTAAAACAATTGAATATTATATTAGCCCATTTTTCATTCAAATAATTTATTCGACACTCAATAATAATAGTGGGCTGAGTTGGATGTCGGCCTGATTTGGATCGGATCACTTGTTATAGTTTAATAATATATATATATATATATATATGGTTCAATAATGATATATGGTAAAATTTTAAATAAGAATTTAAACAATTTCTATAATTTATTGAGAAGCATGTTAGCGTGTTTACAATCTGACGTGGCAAAATGAAGATTGAGGCGGATTTAGATTTGACTGTGGATTTTAAATGGATATATAGGGTGTGTTTGTTCTTGCGATTGCATTAGATTTTTACAATTTATTTCTTTTTTTTTTTCTTCTAAAAATATCAAATCAAATATTTATTTTTTATTTTTTATATTATACTAAAATTTAATTTTATATTTAAAATATCACATCAACACCTATTTATATCACATCATACAATCAAATTCAAAATTTTTACTATTCAAAATCCAACTCAAAATCCAAACCCCCAAACAAACACACCTTATACTAGAAATGGTTTTGAAATTTAAGTTTGTTCGATATTATAAAGTATATGAAATAATTCATTATTAAAGAACATTTGTAATATTAAAAAGGTTCACCGAAATATACTATCTCCGTCCGCCTCTAAATGTTTCATTTATTTTATACGTATTGATATTTGAATATTAATTATTATATCAAAATATTGTACAAATTAAGAAAAAATTGAAAAAATACTTACATTAGTATCTTATAATGCTAATAGAAGGACATTTGTACAAAAAATTATACAAATATAAAGATATTTTTAATGTTAAGTACAATGACGCAAAATGTAAATATGATCCTTAGAGGTGGACAATGAGAGTATTTAAAATTCATTGTGTTATATGATCGGAATCTCAGGTGCAAGTAAATGTATGAAAAATTTGTACATGAATATATGTCGGATGAGGATAGTGAGATTAGAATTCAAAACCTACGAGTTTTTAAAAATATATATCATTAATTATTTTTTTAACATACGTGAGTCTCAAACATATTGTATTGCAATACGAAATAAGTGAATTTAGGAAAATAGTTTGAAATTACTTTAGTTTAAACCATTTCAATCAAACATGACTTAATGTAATATGTATGAGTTGCAATTATTTATATGATGAAAAGCTATTCACTCTCAGTTTTTTCCTACTTTTTGTTGATTTTGTTACTAAAAAGGGAGGAGGAAAGTCAGTACCAAATGCTTGGCGGTCTAAAAGCAAAGAAAGGTATCGCGAAATAAGCTTTTAGCGGCTTATAATTCGTTGAATGTTTCACTTTTTTTTTTTTGCACTAGGTCACAACGATCTGAAAAAAAGTCAAGCGAAAGAAGCCCGCATACCCACTCTTCTTTCCCCCCTCTTTTGCCTCCAAGGGAAGATCGACGATTTTAATGCTGATTTGATCAAGTCAGTAAAATACAATAAGCAAGTGGGATAATGCATGTGTATATATAAAACAACATATATAGAAGTATATGTCGTGAGGTTTATATATTATGTTGTGACGGGTATACATGTTTATTATGTTGAACTCAATAATATATTATATTATATAAAATTATGTATGTGCTGTCAAAATATGTATTGTATATTATATTATCATGTACTGTAAAATATATGTTGTGCCTTATTAATTTGTGTTCACTTAGTCAAATGTTGATGTGGTAGATTACATCGAGCCTTTTAGAAGATTGAAAAAAATGTGCAACGTAATTATAGTTTCACAAGCACAAGCATCGAAGGTAACTAAGAATACGTAATTAATTTAATGAGAGTTTAGTTTTACAAAAGTACCCCGACTTGCGACAATTAGCAACTCAAACAATTCGAGTCGAGAGCTTGACTACGAGAGTTGAGAATTTATCCTTAGTGTCCCATGCTATCTATATATTCATCAAAATACTCACCTCTAATTGAAAATGCGGCGAAATATATGTCATAAGTCATGATCTCAGAATAAAATTGTACGTTAATATAATACAAATATTAAATATCAATTATATGGGTTATTAGGGACTAAATTGCAATTTTAATTATGAAATAAAATTTTAATAACAATACATACAATATACTCTGATTTAATCTTAACCATATATTGTGTATACTAATATACCACTACCCCATACTACTTAAGACCAATAAGTCGTAATCAGCTTCAATTGAAAATATTATCCAAAATTATTTTATCTTAGTGTTTTGAATAAAAAAAAAAGTGTAAAAATATAATATTATGAATGAAAATTCCAATATTTTATGTTATTTGATCTTTATATATTTATGATTTTTATTTAATCACTGATTGAACTTAATATTTCATAGAATAAAATATTGTACTTTTATAGATAAATACTTTCTCCAATATTCAATTATATATTTAAGGGTAAATTGTTTTTTTAGTCTTGTAACTTGACCCTCTTACCATTTTAGTCCGGTAAATAGAGTCTGTCGCAAACTAGTCTCATAAGTGGAAAATTTTTATTGTTTTAGTTCTCCGGCGCTGGAGATGCTCGCGTGGCTCGCTGGAAGCCACGTGTCCGCCAGATCAGCGACACCTGGCGGACACGTGGATTTTATTTTATTTTATTTTATTTTTTTAATTTTTTTAATTAGACCAAATAAAAAAATTAAAAAAAAAAGCAAATAAAATTAAAAATAATTTTTTTTAAAAAAAAATAAAATAAAATAAAATCCACGTGTCCACCAGGTGTCGCTGACCTGACGGACACGTGGCCTCCGGCGAGCCACGCGTGTGTCTCCGGCGCCGAAGAACTAAAACAACGAAAAATTTTCACTTATGCGACTAATTTGTGACAGGCTCCACTTACGAGACTAAAAAATAATTTACCCTATATTTAAATATTTAAACAAGAA